TTGCTTATGGTTCTAAAAGGAGGGTCCATTATGGCAGGGAGGCATGGCAGCAGATGAGCTCTGCAGCTGAGAGCTCACACCTCTAACTACATGTAGGGAGCAGAGTGAACTGGACGTGGGCGGAGGCTACGAACTCTCAAAGCTCCTCCCTGTGACATACTTCCTCTCTAAACAGCACCACCAAGTGGGACCAAGCGTTCAAATACCTGAGCCTGTGGAGGACATTCTCCTTCAAACCACCACAGCTGGGGGCGTAGCCCCGTGGATACTGACTACCCACCTGTATAAGGCCCTGAGTTCAAATACCAGCCCTGCATGTGCATGCATATTTTTATAAAACGGCCAGGAGATATAAATGGATGTCTCACTAACAAAGATTTTCAGGTGAAAAACAAACATTACAAAAAGATGCTCAATGTCACATGTCAACTAAAGCAACAAATGAGATACCACTTAGTCCAAACAGTGACGTCACCAAGGGCTGGAACGAACGTCATACACCAGGAAGTGTCTCAGGACAAGTGGCATCGCCACGTGGAAGACAGTTTAGCAGCTGCTTGTAAATCCTAACTAGGCTCACTCACCAGGACCAATCTGGTACCTTCACAAATGCCCAGATGAAAACCTGCACACAACTGTCAACTTGACACGGCCTAGAATTACCTAGAATGGTCTTAACTGAGGCATGGTCTAGATCTGGTAGGCCTGTAGGCATGTCTGTGGAGGACGGCCTTGCTTATTAGTTGATGTGGGAAGACCCGGCCCAGTGTGGGCAGCACCATGCCCTAGGCAGGGGTCCTGAACTGTGTAGGAGAGGAGAAACAGAGCTCAGCACAATCACGCAAGCCAGTAGGCTTGTGTGCGTCCATTTCCCACCGTTCTGGGCTGTGATGTGAGGTAACCAGCTGCTTCAGGCTCCTGCTGCTTCTTGCTATGATGGACCGTGACCTGGAATTGTGAGCCCTCTCTCTCCAAAGTTGCTTTTTCTCAGGGCTTTTTTTTTTTTTTTTTTTGTCTTTTGGAAACAGGTCCCAGCTGTCCTGGAACTCACTATGTAGACCAGGCTGGCCTTGAACTCAGAGATCCATCTGCCTCTTCCTCCCAAGTGCTGGGATTAAAAGCATGCACTACCATGCCCAGCTTTTTATCTTGAGATAAGGTCTCTTTAAGTTGCCCACCATGGGGGCTGGAGAGATGGCTCAGCAGTTAAGAACATTGGTTGTTCTTGCAGAAGACCTGGGTTCGAATCCCAGTACCCACATGGCAGCTAACAACTGTCTGTAACTCTGGTTCCAGGGGATCCGGCAGCCTCTTCTGTCCTCTGCAGGCATTGCACCACACGGGTGTACTTACCTACATGCAGGCAATACACGCATACACATAAAATAAAAATAAATTTAAAAAAAAAGTTGCTCACGGTGGTCTTGAGCTCACTCAGTAAGCCAGGCAGACCTTGAACTTGAGATACTCCTGCTTCAGCCTCCTGAGTAGCTGAGGCCACTGGCCTGTGGCACCAGTCCTGACTAAAATTCATATTCTTTTAAGAACTTAGAGCCAGGCATGGTGGCACACACCTTTAATCCCAGCACTCGAGAGGCAGAGGCAGGTGGATCTCTCTGAGTTCCAGGCCAGCCTAGTCTACATAGTGAGTTTCAGGTCAGCTGGGACACTATCTCCAAAAAAAAATACCAAAGAGTTTGTGTGCACAGGCGCCTGTGGGGATTGCCCGCGGACCTATGCACGTACTCAGGGCCAGAGGAGAGCATCAGGCACCTTTGTTTATAACTATTCTCCAATTCTTTTGTGGCAGGGTCTTTCCCGAACCTCTGCTCATTTTCTCTGTTAGTCTGGAAGCCAACAAGCCCAGCAATCCCTGCCTCCACCCCTGCATAGATCTGGGGTGTGAGAGTTGCCCAGCTTGGTATGTGGGAGTTGGGCTCTGACCTCTGGTCCTTAAGATTGCACAACAGGAGCTCTTAACTGTCGAGACATCTCTCCAGCCCCTCGTCTATATAGGCAGCTGAGGACCTGACTCCAGCGCCCAGCCTGGCCTTCTGACCACCACGCGGTAGCGACTGTGTGTGGGTTGGAGTTGAGACATCTGGGGACATTTGTTATGCAGCCATAGAACACTGCTGTAATGGAGATTAGCACATACGAGGCAGGCATGGCAAGAGCGAGATTAGAGAGCTTCCCAGACTTAACAAAAACAGAACCACAACACATAAAGCTTTGTCAATTTAGCTCGTTGGAATAGAGAGGAGGGGTCTCGTGGAGAGTTACCTCAGCTGCTTCTTTTAAAAAATTTCATTTATTTATTTATATTTTATATTTTATTGATTTTTTTTTTGAGACAGGATCTCTTCCTATAGCCCAGCTGGCCTAGAACTCACTATGTAGACCAGGCTGGCCTTGAACTCACAGGGATCCGCTGCCTCTGCCTCCCGAGTGCTAGGATTAAAGGTGTGTGCCCCCGGGCCCAGCAGACCTATAACATGTAAAGAACTCATTCCACTCAATAGTAAGACAAACAATCCAATAAATGAATGGGGGAAACATCAGAAAGAGCCCTTCACATGACAAGACAGCCACATTCCCACATCGTTAGGAGAATGCAAACTTAAATCCTGCAGATGCTCCACACCCTTCTCCACACAGTAAAATTGAACCGACCAGTGGGAGCGACTGGCTCTCAGTCTACACTGATGGAGGGAGTGGGAGATGGTAAAATGTTTTTTCAAGATTACCCTGTGTCCAGGTAACTCTGTTCCTCTTTGAACAGAAGCAAAACCAGATGCCCCAGAGACCTGCCTGGGAAATTTCCTGAATTTCCTGGTGTAGTAGCTCCATCCTGGAACCCAACAAAGGATTGTAACCAGTTAAATGGATAAACCAACCATGGCCAGCATGTGTGACAGAAAACTAATCAGCAATTACAGCTAATGAGCCACTGAAAGCAGCAGGCAGAACACCGGCCCACAGGGAAGCTCATGCCCCAGTCTCCGGGAACCCGTGCCTGTTAGCTGCCTGCAGTCGGGAATTAAAACTGCACATGGAATTCAGGTTGCTAAGCAGCCGAACTCTCCCCCAGAGATTATCAAGGATCACAGACTGGGCAATGCCATCACCATCACGAGGTGCTTAGGAAATGGAAACAGGATGCCCCAGAGGCGGGTCCAAGCCCGTGACATCAGCACTCTACCCCAGGTGCCAGCTCTGCAGATGGAATGGGTACAGAGCCAAGGGCTACAGAGGCCCAGGAGCCAGGAAAGGATGGAGCTGGAGGTTCCCCCTCTGATCTGGTTGACACCAGATTTGGGCACAGTGACCCTTCCGAATTGTGACCTCCACAACTGTAGCAATCCTTTCTGCTTCGATTCACAAAATCCCCAACAAGTCGTCACTGCTGCTGTGGAATGCGAACAGTATTGAAATACAAGGCGGCCAGGATGCATCTCAAAATAATCACACTGAGTGCGGGAAGCCAGACAAGGCCATGCACATCTGACTCCATCTATATAAAACTCGAACTCCTCTGCAAGGGCAAGCTAGTGTCCTTGGGCAGAGGCTAGTGGGGAGGTGGGGAGGGAGCATAATGAGGCTGTGGGGTGATAGTTATCGAAGGTTTGTGTGTCAGGGCACACATCCCCAAACTTCCCAGGTGTACACACCCTGCATGTGCAAGGCTTCAAGGAAAAAAACGACAGTTCACACTATTAGACTTCAAAAAACATGGTCATAATTATTTGCAGGGATGATGGGGGTCTGGTGTCAGCTGGAACATGGGAGGGTTGGTTGGGGTTAGGAGAGGTATGGTCCACTGCACTGTCCTCAGACAGCAAGCGGGGCAGAGGGGTCCACACCTGCCAGGTAGGCCCCTAGGGAAGCTGCCACTGAATCATCAGGACAGGCTAAGGCTATGGGGGCGCTGGGCACAGAGACTGCTCCTCCTATACTAAGAGCTCTGGGAGTTGCAAGGAGTCCTGTAGGAGAGGAGAGGAGCCCATGTTAACTAGATCCCACCCGCACCACACTGTGAGGGGTGAAACTGATCATAGGATTCAGACAGAGCTTGGGCCATGGAGAGAGATAAGCTGACTCAGGTCAGATGAATACCCCAGACTCCTTGACTTAATCATGCCTGGAGGCCCTTTAGGGCAGTTTCTGGGGATCATGTGAGCATCTTTGGGGGCTGGTTCCAGTCTAGAACAAGACAGAGAATTTGGGATATGGTGTGTCAGACAAAACACAAAGTAGAGGTGTAGGTGGATGCTCGGATGGCTGAGAGGCACAGGGACAGTGAAGGCCTCACTGGATTTGGGGGCACAGGCCTTCCTTCTGGGCCAGCAGCCATGAGTGGCTGGGGTCTTGTAGTCTCAGAACCTGTAGGGTCTTCCTGCCGAGGTGTAACTAGTCACTGTGGGGGGTGGGAGGGTGCTGGCAAGAAGGGCACCCTACCTCAGGGTACCAGAACCCTTTACCCAAGGGGGTGTATGATGGCTGGCTCATAGATGCAGAAAGAGGGACCAATAACTTCTATTAGGGGAGGTGTCTATGGTAGCGAGACAGCCATAACCCTGACAGGGACAGTGACTTCCTCAAAACTGGCCAGCTGGCAAAAAAAAGTCAGGGTGAGAAGATGCCAAGCCTTTGTGCAACTTCTTCCTGTGGGTGGCCAAGTGTCTTCATCTGGGGTATGAGGACAGGGCCATGCCAGCCCCCTGGGTCAGGGAGGAGGGGCTGAGACCAGCTGGTCTGGAGGCCATGGTCTAGGGTGTGAAGGGCAGCTGTGGTCTCCGTGTACAGATGACTCTTCTCCCTCATCCTGATCTCACAGGCCCTCTAGAGTCGGCTGCCACCTCCCATCCCAGAACTTTGCTCCCTACGGCCAAGTCCTCACTTGAGTCAGAACCCGTATCAGTTACTTCTTCTGTTGCTGTAACAAAAGACCTGACAAAAGTAACTTAAGGAAGGAAGGGTTTATTTGGTTCATGGTTTGAGAACACAGTCCAGCATGGGGAGGCATGACGGCAGGAACGTGAGGCGGCTGATCGTGTTGCATCCATGGTCAAGAAGCAGAGAGAGGTGCCCAACTCACTTTCCCCTTTTTATTCAGTCTGGGACCCCAGCTCCTGGGGTGGTGCCCCCCACGTTCAGGGTGGGTCTTCCCACCTCAGTTAACTGGATCTAGAAGCCCTCATAGACATGGCCAGGGGCTTGTCTTCAAGGTGAGTCTAGATCCCGTCAAGCCAATAATCAGTATCAACCATCAAACTGGCAGGGCCAGGGTGACTGGACCTCTCTGCACTCCGACACATCCTTAGTGGACAGCCACAGTGGTCTGTCTCTGCAAGGGAAGAATCTGACAAGCCAGGCCTCTGAGGCAGGAGGGACCACCCATGCAGGCAGAATCCAAGCTGGAAGCCAGAGAGCAGAGCCTATGGGCTGGGGTCACTTCTGAAGAGGCTCTGGCCAGCAGGGGATCCAAGTCTGAGGCACATGGGGTGGTCATCCAGGAGAAGAGCCAGAGGTGGGGTGGACAAGCCGAGGCCAGCCTTACATGACCATCTCTACAGCAGGGACAGCAAAAGCCGTTTCTAGAAAGGGAAGGAAGTTGCTGGCTGGCATGTACTCTCCGGTCATGCACTCAGAGGTCAGTGCCCTGGGGCCAGCAGTCACATGGTGCTGGACACTCAGGGAAGGAATGGCCTTCGCTCTATCCTCGAGGAGTCCTGAGTGTGAGAACCTGAAGTCAGACGCCCCAGTAGCCCACCTCCCCCTGTCTCTGCTAGGTCTTCCATAACAAATGCTTCTCTGGCCAACTATGAGGCGGCCACTCCTCTCCAGGGCTCAGCCTACAAAAAGCCCTGTGGACACCATAGGTCCTGCCCGTCCCACCCCTTGGTGCCCCTTGGCCTTGTGCTCAGGAGCCTTTCTTCCACAAGCCTGCTTGGATGCCCACACGGTGCCACACAGACCCCGGAAGGCGGGGCTGGGCTAACCAAAGACAGGCCCCTGCTCTGCTGCGGACACTTCATCCCTGGGAGGGGTGGACACGTGCACTAACCCTGAAGCCTCAGTGACTCTGGGAATACTTGGGTCAACTCCTCCCGTACTGAGGTTACCATCTGGCCCCAAGTCGTCCTAAGAACAGACTGAGGGGGGGCCCTATATGAAAGGGGAGACACCCCACTGTCCTCTCATCCTGCCCCCCACCTCCTGCAGGTTTCCTCTTGTAGAGATGGAGGGAGGGGAAGTACAGAGTCCTAGCTGGGGCTACCAGAGAACCCAGTTTCCTAGCCCTGCCTGAGATCTCCAACCTGCATGGCCTAGGAAACAAAGCCACACCTGTCTCTACAGCATCCCAGGCTCGACCTGCCTAGGGCTGAGACTCAGAACACAGAACCTCAGTCTGTGGCACTTTGGCTCCCCTGGGAACTGTGGACTCGAGGAATTTGGGGGCTTCCCCATGCCCCCCACCTCCTGCCCGCTTGTCTCTCACTCTCTCTTTCTCTGAGGCAGGCCATAGAAGCCAGAGGCGCTGCCCAGGGTCATCCCACCCTTTGTGTATGTCAAACTGACCACAGAATTCTCTTATTATTATTTTTTTAATAAACAAGATTTTTTAAAAAAGTTTTTATTTTTAATAGAAATTCACCCTTGTGCCATTTCTTCTTACTTGGGACTGGGAAGTCTGTGGAGGTCAAAGGGCACAGTAACACCAGTTAACTCCCCTAATGCAGTGCACCACAGAACTCTTATCCTGAGAACTTTCTTCTAGATGTTTCTGCCCCAGATCCCCCTAAGGCAGGGGAGAAGGTATCTCTAACCCCAAAAAGGCTCCTAATTCTTTTTTTCGGGGGGGGGGTTCTCTTTTGAGACAGGGTCTCCCCATAGGCCGAGCTGACCTGAAACTCACTATGTAGACCAGGCTGGCCTGGAACTCACAGAGATCCATCTGCCTCTGCCTCAGGAGTGCTGGGATTAAAGGCATGCGCCACCACGCCGGACTCCAGGTCCTTGTTTCTGAAAGCTCCTTCAATAGATGCGTCCTTTGTTGGAGAGGTGATGACTCTTAGGATAGGAGGGAAGGGACCAGACACAAGGACACACATTTCCAGTCTCCCCCTACACTCCAGCCCCCAGGCACCTTTTCTCTCCTCACACCCAGGCTAGCCTCCTCCCGGGGAGCCCGGGGGGCCTTGCCTCTGTGCCGCAACCTTACCTCACACTTCGCCCACGCTCTTCATGTGCCTCTTAGCCAGGGAGACAAAGACCCTCAGCTTTGTGTGTGGTCTACACAGGAACAGAGGTGGCAGGCCACCCACTTCGTGCCCCTCAGAGTCAGAACTCCAACAGTACCTCCATGTACTTGGAGTCCTCAGAGACACGGTCTACCCACAGTCACAGGGCTGGGAATCTGTATCCAGAACAGTGGAGAAGTAGAGACCTGCAGGGAAAGTCCTGTGTCACCTGGGGAATAGAGGCTTACACCACAGCCACCACTGCTTGTTGCAGGGTCCCTCCAGGGTGGGGAATGGAGACCCCTGGGTTTGTCTCTCAGCTGGGCTGGCCTATCCTCCCAGCCAGCTCCACTGGGGCCATCCAGGCTGGAAGAGTTGGGGCACTGTTCATGGATGGAGGGGACACCTGGCCTGCCCACCACTCCCTTCCCTTCTGAGTCACTGCTCCAAAGGAAGGGGGTGTTACAGCCCTGGACCCGTTCATCCAGCTGTCTGGGAGGGGCAGGTGCCACAGGAAGGTGGCATCCCAAAGGCAGACAGACACTGACCGTCACCACCGGCCAACCCTGGGGAACAGGCCTCGTGGCTGTGGGTGGAGGGTGGGCACTAAGGTCTCTTCCTGGAGTGGCACGAAATAGTCCTCCGCGGAACAGGTTCTGGGACAGGAGTGGAGGGTGAGCCTAATTGCCCAGGATCCAGCTCTCTTCTCCTGGGCCCACCACAACAAGGTCATCCCAGGGTTGACCTGGCCCTGCCCCAGGAACAGGAGTGGACCACAGATGCAAAACAGGAAGGTGGGGCCACCTGCTCCCTGTCGCTCTGCAGCAGGGACACCGCCCGTGGAGCAGAGGAAGTCAAGATCCTCTAAGAAGGACCAGCCCAGTACAGCTGGTCAGGCTGACCTCTCTCCTGCTGAAGGGTCACTGGCCACTTCTTGGGTGATGCATCAGAGGGGCCGTTGAGAACCCCGGGCTGGAGAGGCCCCTAGGCTGTGAGACACAAACTGCCTTTGTCCTAAAAGTCAGTACCCAATCTCAGAGCTCTGGGGACTGCCACTTGACACACTGGGCGTGGAGTGTTAACCCTGCAGTGAACCCAGGCCAGGCTAAGACAGCCACAGTATGCCCACTATAACTACCCTGATTACACATGCCTGGCCACCGGTCCACTCCCAGAACCCCTCCTGCTGTCTTTCCTGTCAACCCATCCCTCAATTTAGGCTCTGATGGCCCCATGCCACCAAACCCCACCTCAGCTTCTCCACTGACCTCCGCTCATGCCCTTCGAAGTCTTCCTCCTCTCCTCCTCACTCTGTCCTCATTTTCAGAGCAATTGGACCTTCACCTGAACTCCACTAGCCTTTCTCCAACCTTACCTGCTGCCCCCAGGGTGCTGTTGGCTCCGGAGGCTTGTCCAGCAAGGACACCACACTCTCTCTACTCCAAACTGAACTCTTCCTCCCTCAGCCTTCTCCATTTCCACCAACTGCAGTGCGGCAGGAAGAGTAACATCCTATCCCAAGATGCCCCTACAGACCTCTGGTACCTGGGAAGGAAGGTGGAACCCGGGGTCAGCTGGGCAGCTCACTTGCCCTCCTAGGTCAAGTTCTCAGTGGGGATGTGGTGGGGGAGGGGGAGGTACAGGATGGGGCCTCTAGGGAGGGAGCAGAGCCTCCTCAGGAACCAGCCGCGTGTGTGCACCATACATTAGCATGGACATGAGACTGTGCAGTCCAGTGCCACGGATTTTGGACTTCTAGTCTTTGGAGTTGCAAGAGAATAAGTGTGTGTTGTGTTGTGTTGTGTTGTGTTGTGTTGTGAAGCTCTAGTGTGTGGTCCCTTATGACAGCAGCTAAGGAACACCATACAGGCAGGAACCAGGGTGACACCTGGCTCAGGGTGTAGATTCAGGGTGTCCCAGGATCTACTGCCTTTGTCCCATTGCCTGTCTCCTGTGCTCTTCCCTCCCTTCCTCCTCCCCTCTCTCCTCCCCCCCTCCCCTCCCCCCCCTCCTCCTCCTCCTCCTCGTCTTGCAGCACTGGTGATGGAACCCAGAGTCTCCTGCATGCCCAGCAAACACTCTATGGTGGCTGTGCCCCAACCCATCTGCCCATTCTTGATGCCACAGTTGGCCCAAGCCTGTTCTATCCCACCTGAAGTCCAGATATCTAACTACTGGGCCTCTCCACAGCTGGGCCTGGCCCCTCCCTCATCCCCATCTCCCACAGGCCTGTCTGGCACTGCTACCTGGCTCTCAATTTCCCAGGACCCCCCCAGGACTCCTCCCCCAACCCTGTCTGTCTTCATCATGGTCTCCTAGGGGCCAAACCCAGGGGATATGAGGACAGAGGGAGGTTTATTTTACACAATTTACTCAAGCAGCTGCAGAACAGCTGGAGCCTGGTGAGGGGGCAGACCTCCTTCCTCCCAGGGACACATTTTTCTCTAAGGTGTTTACCTGATTAGACATGGCCTGCTTGTACCATACTTTTCTCATGAACTACTGATAGAAACATCAATCCCTCTGAAGATACCTTCACAGAAGCATCTAGACCGATGTCTGCTAATATCAGGGTACATACAAAATTTGCCATCACGGGCTGGAGAGATGGCTCAGCAGTTAAGAACACTGGTTGTTCTTGCAGAAGACCTGGGTTCGAATCCCAGCACCCACATGGCAGCAAACAACTCCGTAACTCCAGTCCTAGGGGATCCGACAGCCTCTTCCGACCTCCACAGGCATTGCACGACATGGCTGTACTTACCTACATGCAAGCAATACACACATACGCATAAAATAAAAATAAATAACACAAACAAAAAAACAAAATTTGCACCCAGAGCCCTTGGAAGGCATCGAGCACATGCAAACACTTGTATATCCATGGGTGCGAGGCTTGTCCAGGCAATGATAGGGGCCAGGTGGCTCTGCCTCCCACCTCCCTCAGCCTGGCTGCACACTCACCTGCACTATACATGGCCCACCAGGTGGCCCCGCCATCTCTAGGTCCCCCCTCAAGCCCTTGCGCCCCCCCGAGGCTCCCGGGGTCTTCTCACCCTTGGTGAATGTGTGCACTGTCCCTCCAGCCTCTCTCTCCTGGACATGGTCTTCTTCTCTCTCAGGCTCTCCTGACCTTGTTCTTTAAGGCAGCCAAAGCCACTGTCTACAGTAGCATCATTCATCGGCTGAATTCTTGGTTTATGTCCGATTTGTCCCTAGACACTGACCTGTATCTGTCACAGCTGGGACCCTTCTGCTCTGTGCACCGAGTTGTGCCAGAGCACACATGGGGAAGAGCCTTTGACCAACCTGGAGGACGGCAGTCCGTTCTGTAGTAGCCGATGAGACAAAGCTCAGGTCTGTGGGCTCCTTGGGTCCCTCTGGGGTCCCTGTGTGGCTGACAGACGCCCTGCTCTCCCAGGACAGCCAAGATGAAGGAGGAACCATATCCCAGGGCCGGGGGACCCTCTCCAGAGGGGTCATGGACCTCTGGAACCCTGGACACCCTGAGCTCTCTTTACCACGTCCTTCCTGTGTGTGCTTTCACCAGCACCCTACCCCAGCCGCACCGGTAAAGAACCCTCCAACTCTGGGGGTCCCAACAGGTTTCCTCTGGTCACTCACCCTCCCAAAAAAGCAGCAAAAGGTAATAATGGTGACGAGGCAAGAAGGAACATTTTATTTTATTTTATTTTAGTCTTTTTGAGACAGGGTCTCCCTGTAGCCCCAGCTGTCCTGGAACTCACTATGTGGACCAGGCTGGACTTGAACTCACAGGGATCGCCTGCCTCTGCCTCCCGAGTGCTGGGATTAAAGGTGTGAGCCACCACGCCCGGCCTGACATATTTTTAAATTATTGTAATTTTTATTTGTTTTTTTTGAGACAGGTTCTCCCTGTAGCCCCAGCTGGCCTGGAACTCACTATGTAGACCAGGCTGGCCTTGAACTCACAGAGATCCGCCTGCCTCTGCCTCCCAAGAGCTGGGATTGAAGGCGTGGAGGGATTTTAGTCAGCCTAGTGTCTTTGTTGGGAAGTCCCCTTGTCAGCCCATCTTTGAGGCCCGGATAAGAGTTTTAGGCTGGGCAGGGCGAGAGGTGGACATGGTTAAGGAGTTCTAATTCAGCTCTGGTCTTGCTGACCACTATTTTAGTTGTGGTTCCGTAAGGTGATTTGAAGAATTTCTTACTGCTTGAGGGACCACCCCCTCCCCAAGAGGTGGCTCTTCCTGCTTGGGGTGATTTCATGGTGAGGTGACCTGTTTGAGGGGCTCTTCCATTCCTGGTAACCAATGAGGCTGCAGGTTTGAGACTGGAAACTTCAGACACCTTGGGGGTCTGGAACAGGATTGTAAAGGCTGACAGCAGACCCTCAGTTCCTCTTTGATGAAGGGGGATTCCCCCCTAACCCCATTTAATCATGCCAGACATTCCCAGCCCTGCCTTGCCCCACACCAGCTCAGGTCCATCCTCTCAGCTGACCCATAGCCCAGTCTCTCAGATGACCTCAGATGGCCCCTGGGAACTTGTTGGGTGCCAGGGAGTCACATCCCCATCCTCCCAGGGCCTGGGTGACTGGACCTTGAGATCTCAGATCAGTGACTCAGCTGGAGGGGGAGGGGCAGGAAGAATGGGGTGACTCAGCACCTCCAGCTCACCCCAACTCCTATCTCACAAGGTGGGGGCCTGGGGTGAAACTACTTTCTACTTAGCACCCAGGGCGACCTGCCACCTTCTAGCTCCACCTCCGCCCCTCACCTCCCTCCCCTGAAGAGCACTTCTCCTCTCCCCCTGCACCCAAAGAGTCTGTGGGTCGTTCAGTACCCTATGGAGGACAAGCAGGCCTGGACATGGCAGTCAATGGGACAGGGGTCTCAGGGCCTTCATGCAAGGGTGGTAAGGCCTGAGGGCTGTTGCCAAGGGAGGCAGGTCGCACGACACACATGCACACACACACACACACACACACACACACACACACACACACCACACGCGCGCGCGCGCGCGCGCGCGCGCGCGCGCAGCTGCCGTCTTCCCATTCTGATGCCTTCTGCCTTCTATAGAGAGTAGACTGGATATACACAATGGAGAGTGGGTCACCACTGACCAGAGACCACGGAGGACAGCTGGGTCACCACTGACCA